TGGGATTTTCCACAACAAGGTTTTAAATAAGGGCAGGAAATCATAGCAACTTCCCTACCTGCATTTCCTAATTACCAGTTCATTCCAAATGCAAGGTTTCCAAACCAGCTCCACTCTGAGGCAGTAACAGGACCCGAGCATCCGCGGAGGGAGCACGCTCTGCTGGCTGCTGGGGCCGCGGGCTGCGGGCAGCTTGATGTCCTGCCTCCTCCCCTCGCAAGCCCCGGTTTGCTGTTACGCCCTGGGCCTGAGCTGGTCATTTGTTTCCCCACTTGAGTTTATCAACACACTGTGAACAGGGGAAACAAACCACTTTAGGTGATTAAAGGGTTCCAACTGTGTCCCAGATGAGCATTTGTAGGATCCAATTTTGGACACACTTTTGTTTTTAAAATGTCTCATGTATTTTTGCTACAATTTCCTAAATAGTGTGTTTAGAGGGAAGATTTTCCTGCTGTGTGAGTCAGCGGATGCTGTTTTACAAAAAGATAAATTACTTTTTGGTCTTTCCTACGGTCAGGACCATCACACACAAACTTCAGACACTTCTGTAGTTCTTACCAGCTCTCTGTCTCCTACGTTACGTGCAGACGGAAACAGAGCTATGTGACTGTGCTGTAATTACACTCACGGGCTCAGAGCGTGTATCAAATGAGGACAGCCTCCATTACTGTTTCAGAGAAAACAGATTTTCATGCTTTGATGAACCCAAGGAACAAATACCAAACTGTAAAATGTAGACTCTGGCCAAACCGAGCAGTTCTGCAGGAAGCCAGATGGGTTCTGACCCCAGCAGATAGGAAAACAGGCTGGAAGGAAGAGAGCACTGCAGCAAGCACCCCACGATGCTCCGGCCGGCCTGCCCTGCAGCCGGGTGGCTTCTCATTAAGGTCAAAGGAAAGACTCCTGGTGACCTCAGCAGTAATTAGCCAGGGACAGAGACAGGGCCAAGCTGGAAGAAAACGATGACAGTGGGATACAGCTTGATCATAGCAAACAGAATTGTGTGCTAATGACTCCAGTGACGAAACTAGAGTGCTCTCTAAAAATGCTCCAGAGTACTGTGCAGAATGTGGTGCAGACGACGAATAAGCCACTTTCTTGCAAGTGTTGGCTTGAGTCTCCACCTGCACATGAATCTGTGAATCTGTGAATATTTACATCCCTAGATTTCCAAATGTGCCTATTCCATCTTACAATTATCTCCCAAGTGTTAATGTTTACGTTGGATGGGGTAATGATGGTTTCTGCTCGTTGTGATAAAGGAGGCTGAGTTCATTCTTTTCGCTGATGCGTACTTCAGACTGAGCATCCCCACTCCGCTGTGCGGAACCAGCTACCTGTGGCATTAGCGGCGACGGGAGTGAGAAAGCATTACAAGTCCTGTCCTAAAATGAACCCACCCCAGGGAGAGCACAGAGCCCTTTGTTTTGCAGGGGGTCCCACTGCCCCAGCCTGACGGAACGGTGGGTGGCCATGGACTGCAAAGCAACGGGCACAGCGCCCACCAAACAATGTTTGTGTGGCTGCAGAATGCCTTCAGTGGTGTAATCAGCCGTCAGCTGCTTGAGCCTACTGCCAGCACATTGGGCTTCTCCACCCGTTCTGCTCGCCGCCGAAGCACTGGTCCACCAGCGATGGTTTTTTCATATGTCTTTCACCTTTACCTCACCCGAGTTTCCATTCTTATTCTCCCCTCTCTCAGCCCAATTTCTACCTGTCATCATTCTACAATTCTTTCTTTGCTTCTCCTTCTACTAGTTTCTCCCCAGTCCTGTGTCACTTCTGTTTCGCATTCAGCATGCTGTTTCCCAGTCCTAGTGCTTTTGCTCTGATCCTGTATCTCATCATTCTCCCTTTCATTCCTGGCCCACACACACAATCCTCTTTTTTTGACACCATGTTCAGCACCGCTCAGTGCCCAATTCAGGCAGCGTGTCTGCTGCTCCCCCATGGAACCCTCACTGGGCTGTACGAAACACACGTAAGGGTATCAGACAGAGCAAAGAAATGAGCCCCAGTGACAAACCTACACCACGAAGACAACAGGCAGTGGTCAGCCGTGGGTAACCGGGCAATAGCCAGCATCATACACACACGCTATCCCATTCTCGGACTCCTCACCTCGCTGATTTTCCCAGCAATGCCTACACGCAGAACCTCTAGTCTGTGCTAGCAGGAGCTTTCATTCCTGATGGAAACACCCTGGCCCAGTCCGACAGAGGTCAAAGGCAAGAGCCAACTGAGAAATGAGCTACTGCCCTTTCAGGCTGCAGATGAGAGATCGACAAACAACCTACCACCCTCACGTACCAGTAATGGCAAGATAGCGTACAAACACAATCATGCAGAGGAGTGGTGAAGCCTCCTCTGCCAGCTCAGTTCTCTTCAGGGCTCCTCCTGATTAACATCCAGAAGCAGCTCAGCTACAGAGGTGTTTTTAACCTGCAACTGAGAGTCATTCCAAATTTTCCACCATCCTGAATTACGGCAATGATGGCTTCTCTAGGAAAACCCTACCAACCTCAAATGACAAGTCTGAGCGAGTGTAACAATTGCAGCTGTAAAGCAATATCTCACTATGGTAATTAAGCAATTTTGGTTCTAGAAAAAGCCACTTTGGGGATAAGTTCGCTACTTCACTGTAATTGTTAGGGTGCAGACAAGCACAATGAAGTATCCTTGTTACCACAGGCTCAGCTGCAGGCAGCTGTCCTGCCCTGGTCAGCTACGTCCCTCCTGCACAAGGCGTTATTGAGGGAATGGCCAAGGCTCCTCCACTTCCTTCCCACTTGTTCCTTAGCATGACTGCCCGCTACGTTTTCGTCATCTACCTTGCACAAAAGCCAGGCTGTTGGCTTATCACTCAACTTTCACCCAGACAGGCAAGCAGCCTGCTTTTCATCAGATCCTTGTCCTTTGGCCTACCCCACTCAGAGAGCCGATAGTCAAAATTTCCATCAGTGCAGCTCTCTGAGTCATTTCACCCAACAACCCTCACCCTTCCCAGGCAGTCACCAGACAGGCAGATATAACCACAGAAGTTTATCTTCGCCAAAGAGAATTACTGCTGGTCCCTACTGGCAATAAGAGTAGTATAACTGGGAGCAAGAATGTAAATAGAAATCTGACAGCACATAAAATAATGTCAGTGTGCAACCTGAAGAAAAGCGGCGATTGAAAGGCACGATGCCAGGCTAGGAGGAGATGCCCACAGCATGTGAAAATGATGAGTTTTCATGGGCTATCACCTACACTGGTCACACAGGTAAAGACAGTCGAGCGTTTGGGCAGTATCTGGCAGCCCACACTCAGTTTGAGTGACAGGACTCACGGCTACAAACCATCACCACCACGCTGTAGTCCTGCTCTCCCTTCACTGTACATGAGCACTGCTCTAACTGCAGCAGAGGAGCACTCAGTCATCCAAAAAAGGATTGACTCAGATCAATGGCAGCGTCTCCATTGATTTCAATTCAAATCCTGCCTGGAGCTGGAAGCACAGACCCAAGCGCTCACCTAATAGTACAAGGGTTCTCATCTCCTGAAGCCAAGGCAGAAGCTGAGAACACAAAAAAGTAAACGTCATGAATGGCTTGAATTTGTTTTATCAATAAATGTTGAAGGAGCAAACGTAGACAAGCCAAATAACACTGACTGCATATTAGTGTCACTCTGCAACAGGACAAGGGCATTTATTTTCCACAGTCCTCCCGTACAACACCCATTACTGCTGATGTGATTTTCCACACAGAACAAAGTCTCTGAATCTATCCCAAACCATCTTTAAAAGAGGTAGATTGTAGAAAGGGAGTAGATGAGGAGCCATGGCACATCTCGTACTTCCTTTGGAAGATGTAAGTGACACAAGGAGCAAAGCAACACTGGAAGGTTCTAAAAACATGTTCTATGCACATGTGGGCTTGACTAGGGATGGTTCGACTTTCCAACTGCATTTAAAGCCTGAAACAGGCTGGCCAAGGGCAGTTACCTGGCAGGAAGGCTGGAGAGCTATATTGGAAACCCAGAGGACCCTCACGAAATCGCTGATACACTCCTGTCATCTTGCCAAAGATGCTCAAATAACCAGACACGTCAACTGCGAAACAGTGAAAGTACATGGGCCAGGATTACTCCTTGGCAGTGGGTTTGCATCTTCCACAATTAGCACTCATCCCTGTGGATGATGACAGTCCGTACAAACTGGTACGGACATTCTCCTGGAAGCTTGGAAAACCCTCTTCAGTAAAGCATCCAAGGTAGTTTTCACATCCATCCCAGTTTTCTGTTGGCTTCAGATGCTTTCATATCATATGAAAATAAAAAAACACAAGGAAAGACAGAAAATAATAATTTAAGGTTGTTTGTTTCCTTTTGACTTGGCCTGGCTATTGCTGAGACGCTCCGCAATCACCGCTCCGCTAACTCGGATTTCAGCAGAGCAGTGGTTTGGGCCACCGGTGCAGAGTGTCAGCGTGAGCAGTGACTGCGGAAGGGCAGATCCGCGCTCTCCTGAGCAGCGCTCCAGCTGCAGGCTGGGGCTCGTCGCAGACGGTGCGGTCAGGCGGTGGCTACGGAAAGAAATGCATGCAGACCTCTCAGGTTTCTGTAGCCTTTGGATAGATGACTAATGATTCTGACCGCCTGGCTGCTAATTTTTAATTAGAGGTAAACCCAGTGTTCTGCAGCAGAGCAGGAGAGGATCCAGCTGTACTGCTGCTTTTCAACCAGGTTGTGCAGTTACAGGCTTAACTAACTCTGGGCAATCGTGTCTCTCAGCGGGTGTCCCGCAGCTTTGAAAGAATATCCATGAAGCGCCCTTCTCTCCCAGCACTGCCCTCATGGGTGCTGAACCACCCGAAGGGCCCAGTGCCATCAGAATGCCAGGGAGACAAATATTTCTGCCTTTATCCTTCTCCCAGCCCTGAGGTCTGGCTGACTCCAGAGGCACCCGAACCCCTGAAGGTTTCTCATGCAGAGCTGTTTGCTTTCTTTTACAGATACATGGCCATTATCAATCCCTTGAAGCCCAGGCTCTCTGCAACTGCCACCAAGGTGGTCATTGGGAGTATATGGATTCTGGCTTTCCTGCTGGCCTTTCCCCAGTGCCTGTACTCCATAACCAAGGTGATGCCCGGGAGAACTCTTTGCTATGTAGCATGGCCAGGTGGTCCAAACCAGCATTTTACGTAAGCTTTTGTTTTTTAAAGTTGTACATGGTGGTGTCTACACTTGCAGTGAACTTGGCAAAAGCTGTAGTGTCATGCAGATACCCCTAAGAAAGCGCCTTTCCTAAGCCAGGAAGTTACTAGTTTAAGTGATAAGTGGAACATATTTATTCTCTTCCCCTTCTGTGCGTGTTCTCCATCCCATGCTGCATGTTTACCCTCACTGCTTCACCTCAGATAGCTACTTCCATACAGAGAGAGATGGTCAGGAATGGGGGGCAGAACATGCAGTTCAAAGCAAGGTTCCTTTGCATCTTAAAAAGGTAAATAAGTATTTCCAGCCTCTCCTTGTTCTAATAATTTTTTTTTCTCTCTGGATCTCTTGATGTGAGGGTTTGGTTTTCCTACGTGCTTCTGTTTCACCATCACATCTCAGTAGGGACCAGTTGGAGCGACTCCAGAGGAGGCCATGAAGATGATCAGAGGGCTGGAGCACCTCTCCTCTGAAAGTCTGAGAGAGTTGGGGTTGTTCAGTCTGGAGAAGAGAAGGCTCCAGGGCGCCCTTATTGCAGCTTTCCAGTGCCTGGGGGGGCTACAAGGAAGCTGGGGGGGACTTTTTCCAAGGGTCTGCAGTGACAGGACAAGGGGTAACAGGTTAAAATTGAAATTGGGGAGGTTTAGATGGGATATCAGGACGAAATTCTTCCCGGAGAGGGTGGGGAGGCACTGGAACAGGTTGCCCAGAGAAGCTGTTGATCACCCATCCCTGGGAGTGTCCAAGGCCAGGCTGGATGAGGCTGGGAGCAACCTGGGCTAGCGGAAGGTGTCCCTGCCCATGGCAGGTGGTGGGACTGGATGGGCTTTAGAGTCACTTCCAGCCCAAACTATTCCATTATTCCATGATTCTATGATTCTATGAATTACTTGTGCCAGATACCAGTCCAAATAAGAAAACGTAAAACCAGTAACTGGTTCCAGTTTCAGAAAGGGTAGAATAGAATCATGGAATAATGGAATAGTTTGGGCTGGAAGTGACTCTAAAGCCCATCCAGTCCCACCACCTGCCATGGGCAGGGACACCTTCCGCTAGACCAGGTTGCTCTAAGCCTCATCCAGCCTGGCCTTGGACACTCCCAGGGATGGGGCATCCACAGCTTCTCTGGGCAACCTGTCCCAGTGCTCCCACCCTCTGCGGGAAGAATTCCTTCCTGATGTCCGATCTAAACCTGCCCCATGTTGCCTATGTGCAACAGATCTGCCATATGAAGTACACTGGGTAACTCGGGACACTTATCAGGGCCCTTGTATAAATAAACCACTTAAATACCTTTTTTTATGGCCCAGAGGAAGGCACAGCATGCCTAGCTTGCCCTTAGGACACTTGGCTGTGCAATCATTAATCAATTCAGCTAGTTACAGACACACACACCTTGTTCTGCAGTCACTAATCCTGCTAACTGTAGAATTATGCTGAAATTCTGCAAATGCAAGTGAAGAATCAGAACTAGAAACATTATAAAGCACTTGCACTAAAATGTAAACAAATTTGCAGTGCAATTCCAGACTTTCAAAACGACCGTGAAAACTCCAGGGAGTAGCCAGTCAGTATAAAACAGGCGTGCTGCAGTAACACTTGACTTCCAGCAGCCCCTTACAGTGGGAAGGCTCCTCTGAAAGCCCTTACCAGCTTAATGCTTCCTCATTGCAGGTATCACCTCATTGTGATCGTGCTGGTCTACTGCTTTCCACTGCTTGTCATGGGCATCACTTACTCCATCGTGGGAATTACCCTCTGGGGAGGAGAAATACCAGGCGACACATCCGACAAATATCACGAGCAGCTCAAAGCTAAGAGAAAGGTACTGTTCATTACCTCTCACTAAGTGAACCCTGATAACACCATCCGCCATTGCGTTTCCAAGTGTCACAGCATATTCCTGCAGAAACAGCAAGTCACTTGAAGGAACAGTAATGACACTTCACTAAAGCCCCGTTTGGCCAGTCGTGGTCTGTGTTCCAGCTGGGCGCCCCGCAGCCTTACTGCCCGGCAGTAAATAAAGGCAACATTTGGGTTTTAACTTCACAGGTGGCGGCACATACTGTGTCTGATATGTGGAAATCAAGCCCAAATGTTTAGCCTTACGGAGCTGAAAGACTGAGTTTCGAGCAGTGGGCCAGCAGATGGTTGCCTCCTGGTGGGCTGGGTTCCCATCCTGCCAAAAGACAAGCGAATCGTGCTGCCACTCTCCGTAGGTCAAGGCCCTGCACCTCGGAGGTGGGAGCTGATCAGCCTGTTTGTACTGAACGTTTAGGGCTTAAATCAGTGACTTCTGGTGAGGTGTACAAACTATTGTCTTTCCCAGGTATTTTCTTTCAGTCTTTCCCCTGTAAGTATAACCAAACCTAGCAGGACCACGGTTCCCTTAGGAACTGATGATCTGACTAGTTCCCGTCCAGTTTCCAGGCTGTGCCGCAAAGGTTTCTTTCTGATCACATTTTTTCTTAACCTAACTTTCCTTCTTTAACAAGGCAGCCCTTCTGCTTTTTATTTCTGACCCTTTTTTCCATACTAAAATGCATTTAACCTTTTGGGTTCAAAAAATGGTCCATGAAAACACAGACTTCTAGCTCACAGTGCTGAGCACATCTTCAGTTGCTGGTTCACTTCCTGACCCTGCGAGCGTGTCGGCACTGCGGCGTGTGTCCGTGCTGTGCCATAGCACGGGCAGCACATGGGCCCTGAGACAACAGAAGACCAGAACAGTGATGTTTCCATTCCTTGAAGCAGACTGCCAGAAACATGGAAGTGTTTTCTCCCCACACTCTGCACAGAAGCAGTTGTTACAGCAGAGGATCTATGGAAGGGAAGATCTTATTCCTATACCTTCTGACTCATAAGAGACAAGCGCAGCCCTTTCCACGGCAAGTTCCAGTTGGCAGAAGGGCAGGCAGGCCTGGGCAGCTTTACAGGGTGACCTGCAGTGCCCCCTCTGATGCCACAGGTGCTATTTATTTTGGCTTTTACATAGCTTTTTTAAGAGGGCAAAACACCAGGCCCTCCTAAGGAAGCCAAATGCAGTTTGACCGGTATGATCCCACCGCTGCCTTGTAACACTTCACAGATTATTTTGAATGTGAACAGAGAGAAAACGATGAAAGATCATCATAGAAAACTGACCAGTTTCTTTGCATATCTGCCCCAAATTAAAATTACTGGACTAATTCCCAGCAATGATAACAGAATTTCGTAAGATCAGCGTTCCCCTCTTGACCGTTACCCACTGCAGGCTTTGCCATGCCTGGTGTCCCTTACCCCAACAGAATTTCATAAGATCAGTGTTCCCCTCTTGACCGTTACCCACACAAGTCCAATACTGCCACTGCAGGTTTTGCCATGCCTGGTGTCCCTTACCCAAAAGTGTATTGTCACAGGTACGAAATGACTTTTCCTACTGAGCACAAGCAGAAAAAGATCTCCTGGGTCATATCACGTACTGTGTCCTTGCCCTTTTGGTCAGTGGAACAAGGAAGCAAATAATGAGTGGAGCGTGCCCAGGGTCTGACTGAGAAGATGACCTGAGGAATCACTTTCTGTAACAGACGCAGTTTGCAAAAGTCAATGTGGAAAGAAAACTATTGAAAACCAATTGGGAGAACCAGATAATCCCAGAACTTCAGCTCCTGTTACCGTAATGAATAAGTAAAATAAACATGTCATAAAACCCAGGGGTCTCTGAAGAGAAAAGCTGGCTTCTACTATGCTGGGAAGGGTCCACTAAAATCCCTTGAATACTTTAAAACAGCATCTCTTTAGGACTCTAAACATATATGAGAGATGAGGAGTAGCATCCTTAATTAAAGGATTTTAGTTGTGAGAGCACTAGAGCACCTTCAACACATGCAACACGGGACTGAATCATGTGCGGATACACTGTAAGTGCACTCACAGCCGTGACAGCTCCTCGATTCCACGGCTGAGCTCTCCTGCAGGATTCACGAAGGAACTGCTATTTGGAGAGATGAATCATAACTGGTCACTCATGAATCCAAATCCAGCTGGACTGGAATCCAAAAAAAGCTGTCACTCCACCTGCCTCTGGTAGCAGAGCTGTGGCTTTTCCTGAATTCAAAGAACTCATTCGCTTTTCTTGCTCCTTAGCATGCAGACACCTAGGCATAGGGGATGTCTGCACTGGCTGCATTTATAATGACAAGGTGACTGCATGTTTCATATGACACGGCGCAAAGGATGCTTGACCAGGGCTGCCTGAATCGGTAGTTGACATGAAGGCGGCAGTGACAGTTCACGCGAGACCTTTAAAGGAAACGGTGTTTGCCACAAAAAAACTTGCAGCTTGAGAAAGTCACTAGTGGCCCAATCAATACGTGTGATACTCCCCATGTGTGGCTGTGCAATGCACCACAATCCTTCTGAAAGCAGCATCAAAGAACAACGGATGCCAAGAGTCTCGCAGTGCGCACGACAGACTGGGCAACTCAAAGTCATGCAACAGCCGTTGGTGTTGGGACTTTTAAGGGTCAAAGACCTGAAATTTTCAGAAATTCAGGACTGCATGAGACTACTACCACTACTCTCTTTTTTCTGACAGGTCAAATGGCTCAGGGACTGGCCCATTTAAATTTGCCTGGCATCAGCCCTCTGACCATTCACTACACGTGGGCACTTGGCAGCCGTTGCCCCTTCTGAAGCTCCTGCCATGAGGCTGCTGCTCAGCTGAACATCGTTTATCCTCCTGTAATCCTCGCTTTCACGAGAGGGAATTACAGCTTCAGCACTGTCACACATACCTGAAGTTTATAGAGATGGCTCAGAACGTCAGTTTTACTGGGCCCAACTGTTCTTTATATTCAATGCAAATTCCTAGAGACTTGCAGATGTCTCCACACTCTGTTTTTTCTACCTAACCATCTGTCCCAAACCCTCTTCCAAAGCTACTGCGCCTGGAAGAGGGGATAATGGTGTGCGGTGAACAAAGGCACTGTTACCCATGTCTTTGTGAAGGGAGGCAGTTCTGATACAACTGTCTTCTGAAAAACAGTGTTACAACAGAAGATGCCATTGCCTTGTCCCAGGAGGAAGAACACAGAAAACACTCTCCATTTCGATCTTTCCCTTACAGTTCCCCTTACTCTACTAACTTCATGCTAATAGGGACCCGGGCATCTTTTCCTGCAATTTTCAGGATTCCTCCATTCCTCCCTGCCTCTGCCTGGATTCTTTGCTTCTCCTGAGACAGCTTGAGGTGTCACCTCAACTTCTTAGTGCAATGAAGATTGATTAAAAGCCACTTTTTTCCAATAGCAAAGTTGTTCTGCAAATTTGGGTGCAAAACCAGAAAAAACCCAAAACGTGCATTTGCAGGTGGCTGACAGTGTCACAGGGATGACTGAAGAGATGGCCAGGTTCACTGGCCTAACCGCATAAGGAAATTTGCTAAGGTTTATATATGTATTTTGACGGCAGAAGTAAACACCCCATATCCATTCACAGTCACACGTCTATTTCATTAGCTGGGACAGTACACGCAACACAGCGGAGGAGCAAATGAAAAGGAAGAAAGCTTGAGACTTCTACCTGACATTCAAACCAGCTTGGGACTGCAGGAATAATCCTGTCAGGAGAAGCACCTCTGCACTGGAAATACTGCACAGCATGAATCGGAAATATTGGAATTGGAAATATTGCACAGCGTGAGAATCCAAACCTGGTAAGATGGCAGGACGCACTGTTTCTGGTCAGGGTCAGAACGGTGCCATGTGAATTCAAAAATCATTCAAAATTACTGTGTGAAAAGCTTTTACTACATAAGCAGAAATATCCAGGCGAAGTCTTAAAGGACTAGAAGTGACTGTCACAAAAAGGACCCCAACGATTCTGAACAATTTTTTGCAACACTTACATGCAGCATTTCCCCTCCTTCCCAGACTCTGGAAGTAAGTGACAGGACAGGATGTGAACAAATGGTCTCCTGAAGAACTCCGGCATGAACACTTCGCACGCAGCCACTCACGTGGATTTCTCTGGTTTGTTCTTTTGTCCAAAGAAGGAACCAAAATGATCTTATGGAGGCATGAGAATGGCCTGGACTTTGGAGAGAAGGAGCCCAAGGGAGGAGCTGATCAAGAATCACAGAGTTGGTAGATTAAGTGCCTGAAGAATTGTTGGTCGCCAAATCCTGAAATATGGGAACTTACAGGAGAGCAGATTCCAGCAGGTAGAAGAGACAGTACTTGAAGGGAGGGTAATTTTAGAGTTGGTGAAGAGCTCCTGAGAGTCACTCCTGGCAGCTGCTACGATCTCAGAAGGCTCCGAAGGGGATCAGGCAAATCAACAGGCAATAAGTTCATAAACAGATACCGAAAAGGTAAGGCAGGGATGCCCCCTTCTCCAATTCCATTTTGGATGCTGGGGCACTATTAGGAAAATAGAAGATGGAAATTGGCCAGGTTCATGGGATCTCCCTACACAGCACCTCCTACTGCCACTGTTGGAGGCAGACTGGTGGGATAGAAACAGGAGGAATTGTCCTATTTCCTCATGTCCCTTTTTTACACAGCAGTACAGCTATGAAAATAGAGTTCAGCATCTTATTCCTGACCTGTCACTGACTTCCAGTGCAACTAAACATGCAGACTTTCATGACATGAAAACATGTTAATATACTTTTTATGCTACATTGCATGAAATAAGAAAAGCACTCAGAAACAATGATGCTCTTGCTGTCATTAAATGGTACTGACCAGGTCAGGATGAAAGAAAGCAGCTGAATTGGTTCACTATGGAGTAGTTTAGTAAAGGGGCAGATTTTGTTAACTTTAAGAAAAAAAAGGCAAGAGT